CGCGATGGCGAAGGCCACCACCACAGCAGCCACTAGCCGGAAGGTACGACCGCGCCGGGCCAACCGTGTCTGGCGTAACCGGTGGACCAGTAACCCATAGCCAATGGCCACAGTGGTCAACGGTAGAGCCCAACCCAAGATGGTCTCCAGAAGGTTATGGACCAGCAACAAAGCCTCCGTGGCATGCACCCGCTGGCAGTGCCTGTCCTTCACCTGTCGGAAGACGACGGATGGGATGGCCAACACCAAAGCCACCAACCAAGTCACTGCTGCCGCTCTGTGAGCCAACCGTCCAGCACGGCCACTTGCCGTCACCACTGCCGTCGCTGGCCTGGAGACCGCCAAGCATCGATGGAGACCCAGAAGGCTGATGAGGAAGACGCTAACGTACATGGCAGTGGCGCAGAGGTAGTGACAACCGCGGCAGGTGGTCAAGCCCATGTCCCATTGGCTAACGCTCAAGGCCCGGAGGTAGATGGGACCGGTGAGTAGGGTGACCACATCAGCCAAGGCCAAGTGGAAGATGAGGAGGATGGGGACACTGTGACGGCGGGTGACAACGCAGCTCCACAGGACCATGGCATTGCCTGGCAGCCCCACTGCCACTGCCACTGCCAGCAGGGTCAGCCCCACTGCTGCGCCAGGGACAGGGACAGATGTGGTGTTGGGGGGGGACGAGGCATTGATGGAGGATGAGGACATCGTGATGGTGGGTGGGGACAGGCTGTGGGGAGAGGGGGACACAGAATCCTCCGGAGAAAATGCAGATGTCCCCCCATCCATCCCTCCCGCTCTCCATCCCTCCATCCATCTCTCCCTCCCTCCCACCAACCCTCCATCACTCGATCCCTCCATCCCTTTCTCCATCTCTTGATCCTCCATTTCTCCAGCCCTCCCTCCCTTCAACCCTCCAACCCACCTCCCATCTCACTCCTCCCCAGGGGCTCCTCCCTTCCTCATCCATTCCACCACCCCTTCTTCCTTCTCCCCACTCTCTGAGGTCTCCTCTTCTTCCTTTACCCCTCTCAGTTCTTT